TTTTTTTTTTTTTTTTATAATAAATTTGTCAACTGATAAATTGTTGCTTGTTTATACCGAATATTAACACCTTACTTTTGTTGTTTTTTTATAATATAACAAGCGATTTAATACTTATATTATTATCAATATACTTTAAAAAAATGCAAAGTTAAATAGAATTTCAATGTCACTTTTCTTCTACAATCAAATTGATTTTCTTGCTGTATTATGTTTGCGTCATATTGTGAATAGCTGTCATTATAGAAATTATATATTTTGCAAGTTCAAATAATAAAAAGATCAGCATATGTTAATATCTTATTCGTTGCAAATGATATGATATTGATTTTGTTTCGAAGGACGAAAGAGAAATGTGTTCGTATTAAATTTACATTAATGCATATTAAATTCTTATTACTTTTTTGGATAGCTTGATAATTAATGTTAAAGGTGAATAACTCAATTTATTAGAAAAACTAGTTTGAAATTGATTGATTTGCCGAATAATATAAACCAAATTTGTTTTTTATTTTTTATTGCGCAAACTTATTGTTATTGGCATTTTTTGTTTTTGAAATGTGTAAAATCCTTAAGTACAGAATAAAGATTCAAACTATTATGATAAGTAATAATAAAAATGTACAATACATTAGGAATTTAAATATCGTTTTAATTTATGATAATTGCAATATTCTATCGCTTTATGCATCCATATGTGGAGATTTCAAGCTTTAGAATGCTTTTTTACAAATTTTTTTACGATCATTTTTTATGAAGTTACACTCTTTTGAAATTTGCCTATTTTTGGGGGATAGAATAAGTGATGCTCTAATTTTGCTGTTGAGTGTATATATGCATAATTACAACATGAAGCGTATAAATTTACAACGTTAATGTTAAACTTTAATTGCTTATGATTCTGATTTAATCCGAATCTAAACATTTTTTAAATTTAGATTTAAAATTATATTCTTTATTTTGCTCCTTAAAATTATATTAAAACTTTAATAAAATTTATGAAACATTTTTTGCCATTGGTTCAATTTTATGAATAACTGTATATTATAAATTTTCTGTAAATTTAATAATAAATATTACTCTTATTAAAAAAATTTATATATACAATTATAATAATAATAAAATCTCTTTAAATGTTATAAATTTTATTAGACATGTATGAGTATATGTGTACCGTCTGTTCATGTATTATTATATTTGAATTGCGAAAATTGCATAATGTTCTGAAATATAATTTGTTGTTGTTACATTGGAATTTAAACGGATGGTCGTACCCATCAATTTTAGCTATAAGAAATATAATATACATTTTGTTATAGCTTCCTACATTAATCCATGTGGTAAAGATCTTAAAGATTCAAACTACAACCAGTGTATTAAAAGCAACATTGACTCTGTAAAAGATAAGATCTGCACAGGGATGCCAGAACTGAACATTCTACCATTAGAGCCATTAATTATAGACAAGTTAATTATTTTTGATGCTGAAAATATTAAGTCTAATGTTAAAAATATAAAAACATATGGATTTTGTGATTTCGACGTAAACTCCGTTTACTCGAATTCTGACAGAAACCATATTAGTCTTGATTTTAATCTCAAGCATCTTCAATTGAATGGTTCATATGATTTTAATGCACGACTACTGACGCAAATTGTTTACAATGGATTAATTCAAATTACAATAGGTAGGTAAAATAATCAACATAAACCTTATAAATATAAAAATAAAATGTAATACACAATATTATATAAAATTTTTTATAATTAAATATTAAAGTTAATTATATCAAACTTATTATAGATAACCTAGCTGTAAAAGTAGAATTAAATTTGAAAACGATAACTAAGAACGGCAACAAATATTCATATGTATCAAAAATAAACTTCAATCTCGACATCAAGGACTTTGACTTCAAAATTGATGAGAGCAGGAAGGAACTAGCTGATTTATATAAAATAATAAAGGATATCATAGATACCAATAAAAAGGACATTGTGAAACGAGTTAAATCGCCTATAGAAAAAGAGGTCTCCGAACGTATAATTTCAATTTTGAATGATGTATTTCGACGTACCAATTATGAAGAGCTATTTCCCGAAAAAACAAGAATTGTCTAGAATCTTATGATTTAATCAGCTTGCTTTTTGCAAGAATCTTGTCATTTTTGTCACGAATTTTATTGCAATATTTGAAAATTTGAACTGAATAATAAAAGAAAACAATTATTATTAGTATACACACACCATAGTATACACTACTTCATGCTATCGTGTTTAATCCTGCTGCCGGTTGACTTCCATTTTCAAATTTTAAATGTTACACTGGTTCTACACCGTCCTTTTGAGATCGTGTAGTAAAATCCCACTTGCATAAAATTTGCACTACACTATAGCCATGGAAACACTGAATGAGTTCGTCTACCACCAGCCAAAAAAACATGCTACACTGTCTGAGTGTTGTACTGGTGAGTGATAGTGCAGCCAAGAGAAAACGCTATTACATACAATAATTCTATACGTTTCGGCTCATTTTAAGCCAACTTCAGCTGTATATAATTTTATTCAATTTTGTGCATAAGTGTTCGAGAAATTTTGTCTGGTGTTCTGCTTATCTGTGATGAGCCTCTCACAAGTCCCTATTTTGGAGAGAACGACCTTCACATGGTTGCTATGCCATGAATAACGCCTTTGTCTCTCATTCATATGTAATAAATAATAAATTATATTCACCTCAAGTGATTAAAATTATATGATAATTAGTAAAATGAGTAAAAAAAAAAACAAAAAATTTTTAATCGATATCAAATAATTGTTATATATGTATATAGTTCCATCTCGTAAAACGTTTGAAGCACAAATAATGTATCTTTTATTTGCCCGTTATTGAGAAAACGATATTGTGTTTATAATCTGAGAGCCAAAGTAAGTCATTTTTATATTTGATATTGAAATTTTGAGTATTTAAAAATTTTGTATTAATATTCTTCAGTTTGAAAGAGTAAATCTAACAATAAGTAACGTTATTTTATATATAGTTAGAAGAAAAGTTTCTGTTACTGAATATAGATATATTAATTTGAGTATATATAATAACAGTAATATGTTATAATGATCAAAATAATTAAAATCAAACGTATATGAAGAGGAACGTGTATTGAGAGATTTATATTACGCAAGCTTAGCTATAATTGATTTGCTGTTGCTGCGTGTATGAGAAATATATAAATATTCAGTTAATATAACATTTCGTATTTAACATTTTTATTATATTGAAACAAGCCAATTTTAAAAAACATATTACATTTGTTTTTTGTAAGTAATACCATTTTGCTATTTAATCATTACAAAATAATTTTAAAAAATACAATTTGCATTAAGAAATACATCTATGATCTGTTTTTTATTTTTATTATATTTTTATTAATGTACAGAGATTATCATATGAGCAATTTAAACCGTGATATACAGGATGTCTAGAATTTAAAACTTCGAAAGCGTGTAGGGGATCGATAAACTATAAGAAAAAAAGTCCTATAGAAATATACTCGTTTTTGCTTCGTTTTGGAGAAAAATCACAGAAAAGGCAAAAACGTAGTTATGAAGAAGTAGTGTCTTGATGACCCAAATCATCTGATCTAACATCACTGGACTTCTTTCTGTAGAGGGTGCTAAAGGAAGATTATTCATTGTTAATCAATTTAAGAGAACAATTGAGAAATCGAATCGAAACTACAGTGCACTGAATATCACAGATCAGTATTTCGTTGCACACAAGCTGTCTGTACTGATGATATGTATGCTTACATTCCTGTAAGAGACCAACATTTTAAACAATATCAACATTAAGCAATTAAATAAATACAACATGAATAACTAATAAAAAAAATACAAAACAAAAACTATCGTTTTATCTTTTTTGTGATTTATCCCAAAAGGAAGCAAAACTGAGCATATCTCTATAAGACTCTTTTTCTTAGTTTATCGATCCTTTACACTCTCCCAACGCTTTGACATTTAAATTCTGGACACCCCGTATATCAATTTATCTCACTTTAGCTAATATACAGGGTGAGGCATTTAAAACAGGTCACCTGAATAACTTGTTTTTAACAATAGAAGGAAAAGTATCAAACAAAAGTTGCTTGGTTTTGAGGGGCACATAATGTGATGTCAACAATTGTTTTGTAGGTAGAGGCGTAAAGGATAGGCAAAGGTCAAATCTGTTTTTTTAAATGGAACGATGTTTTTTTATTTACATTCTGATAGAGCATTTTAAGACGAATACAGTGACCTATAATTGAAGGTCATTCAAGGTTACGCAAGGTCAATAATAGAAAATAATTAAATAGAAAATAAATTGTTTCCAGGCACTCTTCGAACAATTTCGTGTCTTTTCTGCTTGTTGATATCTGAAAAGTAGAGATTTTAAGCTGTCGAATGCTTTCTATAACATCTCGATACGGTGATTTTTGACGAAGTTATTCTATCTTGAAGTCTTTCTATTTTTGCATGGTGAAACAAGTAACCCTATAATTTTATTGAGTAGTGTATTTTTCATTTCGTGCTTAGGGAAGATCGGATCTCGTTGGCACAGCTTTCATAATTTCAGCATTAATTTTTTTAAATAACTGATTAAACTATGCTAATATGATAGAAAGAACCTTTTTCTGTATTTTGATGCTACAAACAATTCTGTGTAATGTATAGTTTTTGTAGTAAGTGTAGTACGAACACACTGCATTGCAGCCAGCTTGCCCCGATAATGGGGTAAGTTGATAGATACCATGGAACAAGTTGTCCATATTATACATATATCAAGGCATAACACACTTCTTAAGAGACTTATAAGTACTTATCATGGAACAAAATCGAAATAGATCCTGATCGGAATTGTTCAATTATTCTCCAGATTTCTATTGTGTATGTTTTTTTTAAGGAGAACGGAATAATTTCTATCAGAATCTCCATTCTCTGATTTTGTTTCATGATACATGCCCAGGTCAATTATATTATATTTTTTATATTTTTTATATAAGTGTACGTAGTACATCACGAACATCGATAGGTACGTCTTACGACTTTTACGTGTGAAGTGCGAACGATAGCACATCATTGCTAACCTATACTAATCTTGCATAAGTTGCATTAAATATGTGAGTCAACGTACCCCATCTCTACATACATTTGATTTTAATAGTTTTATTGTAACAAATTACTATCATCATTCAAAATAGCATGTCGTATAATAACAAAAACTTTTCTTTTAACTCATAATACGTCATTTAGATTTATGTTTTCAAGCTGAGAAGTATTAATACAAAATATTGAAACGCTCGAAAATCTATTTCGTGCCCCTTGAATTACGTTTTTCTCTTTTTTTTATTATAATACTTGTTTGATTTAAATGAAACTTAAGGATAAATACATATGTTATAAAAGACATATTTTGCAATAATTTTTCTATTTTTCTTTTGCCATAAGTACATAAACTGAACGCGATACCAACTTACCTCTTGTGCCAACGAGACCCGGTCTCCCCTTCTTTTAAAGATTATCGCTTGTAGTGCTTTACATGGGGCACCCTGTATATAATAATTACAAGAAAAGATAAAAACGGATTACTAAATCGATGTTGAATCAGTTTGGATTATTTTGTGTTTCAGGTTTCCTTATATACATAATTTAGACGATTCACTAGCAAAATAAATATAATCTCTTTTTTGTGATGCTGTTTTATTTTACATTTAGTATAATATGATTATCAAATTAGAGAAGACGAATGAAATATACACAACATATTTTTACTCTGTACGTTTATGTATCATTAAAATAAATAATTATTTATAAAATAAAAAAAAAACAGGATTCTATACTTTATGTAAAATTGATCGGTTTATGTTAATGTTACTTGACATTTGCAGCACGTGCATATTATTCATAAATGTAATTAACACAGAGACTGTACATTCCCTGACATTAGTTTTGTTAAAGAGAGAGAGAGAGAGAGAGAGAGAGAGAGAG